AAATATAATATTATAAGTAACTTAATTGTGCCAATTCTGCTTATAATCAAACGTCTAGATCTTCGGTTCAATCACATAGCCTACGAATAAATTTACGTTTGGCGAGTTGTATTTAATATAGTAGAAGAATGGCTTGTTTGCTTCAAATTTCAGTTCCGGTCGTATTATCAAAGAACAGGGCACGACTTGAAGAACTGCAAATACAATGCGAACTATATTATACGACTGTTTAAGAAACTTCCACCGAGTCTTCACTTTTATGAAACATGCGCATTATTTTTACGAATATATACGCATTATTTATACGTTAATAATTATTATGTTAACTGCAACTTTTAGAATGAAATACAGATGTTATTAGATAATTGGGATATTCATTGAAGAAATTAGAATTTATATTATATGCTATATTGCTATTATCTTTTATAAATTATTGCAAATGATAATTCAAAATACTTTTATCAGGTAAGAAATTAACAAATTCTTTAATGTTTCGTATGGCGAATTTACCATAGACTGACTATACTGAAAAATCGATGTATAATAACTTTTCCATATGTCGTTTAATATATTTTTGGCGTATTCACGCGGCCATCGAATAAGGATTTGTTTAGTGGTCGATACTGGATTTGGTAAAAGAATGGTCGATTTATGTCGAACACTGGTAATGGTTCATTGATCATATCACTCAAAAGTGCAACTTCCACAACTGCGAACAGAATATAAAGAACTGCTTATTATATAGGTATATTGTGCTTGATCACACATTTTGATCAAGAAAGAAGTAGATAGATGCAGATATTCAGCTAATTTTATTTTTTACAGAGTAAAATCTATTGTATTTCTGGTATGTTTATAAGACCCTCGAATAAAGACACTAATGATGATCTTCTGTCATAACGAATATAATAATAAAACGACCGATTTATGTCAAATTCTAACGATTCCCTATTCATTACACTCCCTTTAGCTACTAGAGCTGTGAACAGAATATAAAAAAATCATTATGTTTTCGTATTTATCTAAAACGTTTCATGCACGACATGAATGCATGCTCTGTCGAAGGTAATATCTCAATTTTCTATTCAAATGATTATTCAAATGATTTTCGTAATCAATATTAGGTGTACAAATTAATTTTCGACCTTTTTTGATCAACTTTGACATTTTTTTTAATAAAAACATGAATACAACTAAATCTTCAAAGTAATCTCGCTATCTATACATTTTTTCCATTTCAGGCAATTGCCGGATTCCAGATTGGAAAAATTATGATGGCTTTGAATTAATAAATTTATCGAGGCTTTTTTCGACTTCTTGAACTGACTTGAATCGAGAATTAGTTAGGTGATGTTGTGGGGCTCGAAATAGGTGATAATCCGAAGGGGCTATAAGTTTGGAGAATACGCCGCATGAGGGAAAATTTCCCAGCCTAAATCGGAGATGGTTTCCAGAGTGTTTTTGCTGTATGGGGTTGGGCGTTATCTTGCAGCACCTTTCTTCTTCCATTACTACTAAAAATAGCCTTTTTTTCTTCAAGAGCGTCATTTATACGAATCAATGATTGATAGAGCTCAGCAGTCACGATCTGACCTTGTCGGAGCAACTCATAATGGATCACGCCCTTCTGATTCCATCAAATGCATAGCAACACCTTTTTTGCATGAATATTTGGTTTTGCGATGCTCGTTGACGGCTCACCTGGACGGATCCATGATTTTTGTCTCTTAGTTTTCTCGTATAATATTCACTTTTCATCACAAATAATAATTTTGTACAAAAATGATTGTTTTCTTGAACCTAGAGAGCAAGGAGAGAGTAGTATCGTGGCGTCTGTTTTTGTTTTCGAGAGTGAGCCCATGAACCCATCGGGATTCTTTGCGAATCCTCCTAAGCTGTTTTGGGCGATAAACATCTTAAGCCCAATCTACAATTGCGTAAACGTAGTTGTAGTTGTAAGAATTGACTAATCACAGTTGAATACAGGGGGAATATTTGACTGTCATTGCCCATTGGTCAATTCTTATAACTACAACCACTTACAACTACGTTTACGCAATTGTAGATCGGACTTTACTGGGTTACTCCAAGCGTATTTGCAAATTCTAATTGCGTTTGGCAATAATTCTCGTTCAAAATTTCTTCCAACTCCGCGTCTTCCACTTTTTTTGGTTTACCAGGGCGTTCACGATCCTCAAGGTCGAAATTTCCCTCTCGAAACTGTTGGAACCATTTTTTACACGTATTGTACGATACAGCATTCTCGTCCAAAACCGAACAAATCATTTCTTTTGCCCCGGCCGCGTTTTTTTTAAGTTGAAACGCGAAAAGAAAGCAGTGCCTCAAATGTTGCTTTCCGAACGACATCGTGTTTACTGCTGATTTTTCAGATTATGTTCACAGGAGGATTAAAAGTAATATTGTACCTCATTTAAAAGCTAAAAGATGACACTTCAAAATGACTACAGAAGGGGAGAGTTCAACTTAAACGGGTTCTGAGGTCGCTGAAAGGTAGGGGCCGAAAATTAATTTATACATCTAATAGATTAAAGATGATTTAAAAAAACATAAATAAACAAGTATGTATTATATGTTATTAAGTGAATAATGCGTGGTACAATTAAAGATACAAGAAACAAAAGCAGATGAAGACATTTAGCTGATATAATTTTTTACAGAGCACCTATTGCACTTTCAGTATGTTCACAAGACCATCGAATAAAAATATGACGATGTTCTCTAGTTATGACGGACATAATAATAAAATAATCAAATTACATCGAATTCTGATTCTCTAATTATTATGTTGGCAACTAGAGATACTAAAACTATGAATAGAATATGAAAAAAATCGTTATGTACCTATTTTCTTGTTTACTCAGAATTTTTTACACACGTCACGAATGATATTCTGTCGGAAATAGTAGTTCAATTTTCTATTTATACTGTCAAATATAATTATTATTCCATTACCAAATCACCTAACTACATAAACGATAGTTCAAAACATAAATACACAACTACTTGGATGCTATTAAATAAATAATAAAGTCGACGAAAGAAACAAAAGCAGGTATCAGATGCAGATTTTTATTCGATAAGTTTTTATAAAATAAAATCATCATTATCAGGCATAGAGTAATCTAAGTTCACTCTTACTCTGTGAATCCACCTTAAAATTTATAATCCTACCGCTTACTTCTTCATCCATTATTACATAATCTATCACCGAAAATCATTCTGGTTTGTTCACATGACCTTCGAATAAATCTATGAATGACGTTTCTTTGTTATGACGAATATAATAATAAAATGGTCGATTTACGTCGAATATTAAAGGTCGTTCTTCAATTATCGCACTCATAACCATAAATTCCACAACTGTGAACAGAATATATTATAAAAAATTGCTTGATATAGATATATATCAGTTATATACCTATATATTATATATATTCGTTTGATCATTTGAGACTTTTTCACTTCATCTCATAAATATATGATTTATGAAACTTGACGTTCTTCACGAACTGTTTTAATTTCTTATTAATTATTCTGTTAAATAATTATTTCCATTTCTATTGTATAATTATGCAAAAAATAAATAAATTGAAACGTATAAAGTATATAAACATGCACATTCTTCGATAAAAGTATTCCATATATTAAAATCATAATGTTTGCATCAACAATATTTTTTCTAGTTTGTAAAATTTCGGAAAAACTTGAAACTTAAAAATTATAATAATTTTAAGTTAATCAAATACTAAAGCCACCCTGGAAGTATAATACAAGAATCGAAAATGAATAAATGACCAACATTGTAGATTTTTCGTAATTTATTCGTGATATCAAATTAATGATGCTTTACGATAGAATATTTATGCTTCCGGTGATTTTACATAGCCTTCAAATAAAGGTATGGACAATGTTTCCCCGTTATAATGAATATGATAATAGAATGGTCGATTTACGTTAAATATTATGGGTTCCGCAATATTTATCCAAGCGACTTCCAAGAGTGCCATCATAACTGTGAACAGAATATAAGAGATCGCTACACATTCGCTTAATCCTAGAACGTACGAAGTCATTGAGTGCTAAGATAGGTATGCCTTCAGTGATCAATAGGAGGATCCAAATCTGCCATGCTACAAGCTGAAGCCTGATTGAGCACTGTAGTGCCACCAAAGCGGAAACAAGCTTTTAAAATTTCAGTCCGATATAGATCAATTTGAACCTCCGGATGATCAGTATTAAAAAAAATTTGATAGTGTATTTATTCTTTTTTCTCTTTTAAGTTAATAATTAGATTATTTGTGTTTATATAAAATTCTATCAGATCAATTTATTTTAGATTATAAATATTTTGTCATTAAAAGTATAAAGCCTTGTGTATATGAAAATGTTGTGTTACATTAGTTAAGAGTGGCCTATTTTTTCTCGGACATAGAATTTACGTATCAATAGCAATATTACTCAATACAGATAGTATTTCAGGATTAAGTATTCGGACTTTTTTCACGTTACAAACTTTTATTTTGTCGATACTATTTTGAACTTAATACATGTACGATTTCTCGACCATTATCTCACTACATAATTCTTTCAGTTACATGGAGACGGTTTAGAAAGTACAGGCATATTATCGCCAATAAACGATGCATTTTATTTGAAAAGAAATCTGTAGAATAAGATATTACAAAAGTCAGCAGTTTAACATTTTTAAATCAGTTATTATAATGAGATCAAAGAACGTTTAGCTAAAACAACAATCATAAGAAACATATGCCAACTAGAATACTTTTTAATTTGAATTTGCTAATAACACGCTGTTACACGTATCGAACAATGAATTTTCAGATTATAAATTTTTGTGTGATACATCTTTGACATATTCACACAATCACACAATCTTTGAATAATAAGAATATAAACAATCTCTTGTTATTCATATATAACAAATATTATAACAAAACGATTTATTTCAAATATCGGTGTGCACCTATATTAACTACAAATAGCACGGTTTAAACTCCTGTGAACAAAATAACAATAAGACAATCTGTACATTGAGATCTTAATCGATTTGTTTCGTTTTTGTTAATGCAATGTATAAATGTACGCTTTGCATACCTCGAATTTAACTTAGAGAAAATTTGTTCTCCTCTGACGTTCTTTTCTCGCTCTGTTGATTGTTTATACAGCGAATTGAGTCGAATTTATTCGAATTTTTATGTTTGTAAAAATCTTGTACTTTTGTATTATTGATGCCCTGATAAAACAATAACCGTATAGTCATAGGCAGTTGCGAGGTAATCAATTTTTGTAAAATGTGAAGAAATTACAAGAATGATCGCAAGTGATAAAATTATTGCAAAAAAATAAAAGGATAAGCAGATTAATAAGAGATCTTACAGATCGTTTAGCTGCTACCACATTTTATGATGTTCACATGTGCGACTCATCTCGTTAACTTCTTAATCTCGGATTATTTACGATGCCTCGGAATAGTTCGATATCGTTTGACCATCTCATTACGAATGAAAATGGCCTGTTTGCTTCAAAGTTCTTGAAATCGGATAGAAATCTTCGATTGCTGATGCCTACCAGACAAATGTCAAATTTCTACCATATAATCTTTTACAGTAAGATTTGAAGAAACGATATCAAAAGAAGCATCGAAGTACTTTTAAATAAATTCGAATTAGCTCGAAAACATATTTATTTATCCAGTTTTGATTTCTCATTTACAAAAAAATTTATATATATTTTATGCGTTAGTATATATATATATATATACTATATATATATTTTAGGAAGCTAATATATTTTTATAAGATTTAATCGATATTCTTATAATCATAGTTTATATTTTATAATAACAAAAAGTAAAATAAATATCGCGTCGTAAAAATTAAAATTATTGCAGAATATGCTTTCGAATCGATTTAAATGCACTTCGAATTCCCGTAATGTATTGCATTGTACGTGAAATTTAACAAATAAGAAATAATTGACAAAGGAAAAATATTAATTAAGAAAATTTTTATGTATATAAAAGTATAATAAAACTATAAAAATAAAGTGATCAAAAAGTAATAATTAAAATAATCAATAAATACATACATACGTATTATGTGTATTAATTATATTAATTATTTTCATAGAATTATTATCAAAAATTTTATTAATATTTAATGGTTTTATGTTATAGAATAATTAAATCTATTAAACAAGATAATTAATCACATATATCACACAATACGTATAATAAATTAAAAGAAAAACAGTGTCTTTTTAAAATAATAATCACCTATTTAAATAAGTTATCAAAACTGCACATTTTCGGACTTGTGCATAATCAAAATTAATTTGAGCGCGATAATAATTTACAAAATTTAATTTCTATATATTATTATACAAATAATGTCATGCTTTACAAGTTATACATCTAACGAGATACTATCAAACTATATCATTTTATACGAAAGATGTATATATGCTTTATCGTAAATTAACTTTACTATTAATCGTACGTCATTAAAGTATGTTTTTTCAACTATAAAATTGCTGAGTATATCGATAATACGTAAAAATACATCAATAATTAAAAAGTATCAATGTATACTCGTGTTTTTACCACGAGTGTAATATAAAAAGTATCAATTGTTTTCTATCATTACGAAAAAAGTATAAATATTTCTTGTCACTACCACAGGATCTTCACTATAAATAACGCGATGCTGTCGTATTTAATGATCGCCAGGAAAGGATGATCGACGCGAAGTAATAAAGGCTCCACCGGTTTCCAAGTACCCGAAAGAGGTCTGACAGAAGCACCTGTCAGAAGATCATTCTTTGTATCAATTATCCGTTTCAATAATCGGATGCGCTCTTGGATCCCCAGAGCGTGAAAGATTCAGATGAGAGTTATGACTGATTGAATATTAGTCAGGACTTGATCAGAGCGTATTATAGAAACTGGTTGAGAGTGCAGGATAAGAAAAGAAGAATTTAGTAATGATGCATCACTGATTACGTTAGAATCAGCGAGTCGTAAGTCAAGCAATGAAAATCGCTCGTGTGTTTTATATATTATATATATATATTTTTAAAATTACTTGTTAAAAATTTTTTATTAGTTTAATATAAACCCATTGCATCCACCTTTTCGCCAATTTTCACATTGAATCAAATAAAAACATTCGATTTCGTCAGATATAACACATGTTTTGTTGTCAAATAATATAGGGGAAAGGAGAGCAAAGCGGAAGGAGAAGGAAAATATATGGCAGCGAATTTTTTTAAATACCTATTCCAATATCTGAACGTGCCGCGGTCGGGACCTTCAGTATGCGTACGAGTCGCTCTTATTTCGTAAGATAACGATTTGTAAGGTCCCTCGGATATTTGATAGGTACATGATATTTTCCGCTTTTCCCTCTCCTTCCATTTTGCCCTCCCTTCCCCTACCGAATCGAGGAAAAATGCAATTTATTTTTATGTTGTTGCAATTTAACAAAACTATTCGTTTCGGAGATTCATAGTCCGATTTGAATATCATCATGATGAGAATCTCATTTATTAATGCCTTCTCTCTCATGTAGTTATGAAGTGCTCGATAAATTTTTCTTGAAAATTTTGATCCCTTCCTTTTTCGTTTTTCTTAATAGTTTATAGCTTTAGTTAAATTGGTATTAGCATATTTTAATAAGATGATTAACTTTGTTTTCGCAGTATCATAAATAAAGCCGTTATCGCAAATATATTTTTATCATCGTGAACTGTGAACCGCATAATTCTCTGGTTCTGTCGATAAATGTGCATTCTAAATTTGTTAAAGATGATTTAATTTGTGCATATAAAATCAACTTCAACTTCCCACAATTTTGAGCTTCTATTACTTCATCGTCCAATCACTCGTACAATTTTGTTTTTGAAAGTGAACCGCAGAAGTTTACAAAGTTTAATTTAATGCAATAATTTGTTTAAAGACTCCTAAATTTTAAATTTAATGTTACCTAAAATATCCCAAACGTTCCTTTGAAATAAATTTTAGAACGTAACATATAGCTTGTATTAATAAATTCGAACACAAGCTGCAATTAACATAATACATTTATGTTAACTGTACATGCAAGATTTAAGTCAAACACGAGCACTGGTCAGTGTCAATAATTGTGACGCTGAAATGCTTCATTTATTATAAAATTTGAATTACAAGTTTTTCCGAATATCATCGAAACAACAGATCATAAATATCAATACGTTAGCTCGTCTTGCATACGATTGTCATTGTGTAACAAAAGTCATAAAATATAATAGGTGCAACGTGAGTAACAGGTGCATAATCAAACAAACATGCGGTTTGGTGCTGTGCGGTGTATAAAACAGCATTTGTTAATAATGCAATAGTATGCTACAAAAATGAAGACATAAAAGAAAGCAAAAAAATAGATAAAATGGAAAGACATGAAAAGTATGCGCAGAGACTAGCAAATCTGTTTATGTATAGAAAGCATGTGAGCAACATTTAACTATCACACTCAGCTTAAAATCACGGCAACGTACAAAATCACATACATCCGTGCCGCGGAAACTCTGAGAAAATTTGAAATTTTACTACACGATTAACATAATATTAAAATAATGATACATGCACAAGCATTATCGAAGTCTTCAAAAAATTAATTCTCAGAGTTTCTAAGAAGCGAAAAAGAATTTCGATGTATCTCCCAAATAAAATTAGGCGAAATGTCATCTCTTGTTCTCAATATAAAATTAATATTTATATTTATGGTTATCTTTTTTTTTCTTGTATTCTTTCTGGCTTGGATTGTAAATAGTTAAATATTACGTGTTATAATCTTCTTTCGAAGCTATTAATAATGTAGCAAACATCAACTAACAATAACACAGCTGTTAGTTATATAATTTCTCACGCAACAATAACTGTAATGTGTAACAGTTATATAACACGTTATAGATAAAATAGATGGTAAAGAATGAGACAAAAATATAGAAAGTATCTAAAAGAAATTATTTGATTTATATGTTTTTCTCTGTTGAAAGATTATTCGAAACTTTAAGATAATATTTCGCCCATTTTTGACCTCAAACAAATGCAAGAAATAAAACAAGGTGTACTTACCAGTGACGGCGGCTGCCTCGCTACCTTCTTCATTAACTTCGATGAAAGCTTTTTGTATGACTTTGTCGATTAGCACAGGTACGTCCGAAATGCCGTTAAAGTTAGCTCCATGGCTGAATGGCTCACTGAGACCCATCTGTAACAAGTGAGACCGCAAGTTAGATACGATGTTGCATTAATTCTGTTATCGATTATCAGTAGAACATTGCAATGCACCTTCTTGGACAATGTATCTTTAAGATCCAATTTGGATTCAGTCCTGAACCTAGGCAGATATACTCGGACTTCACGTTCGTAAGTTTGAGCGAGGCGAGTGCTGCATTCCGCGGTAACTTCCTCGAGTTTGTCAGTCAATGCAGCTAAACCGTCAATTTTATTGGGTAGAATGATCACCATGCTGACCTCTTTATTCTGCAATAATAAAATTTACACTCATAAAAAGAATTCGCGAAATACTTTGTTGCTTTTCATCATAACTGCGAAACATATACTTGTGAAAAGTAATAATCTTACACATCTGATTAGATTTTTTTTTTAATTTGCAAAAGAGCAATAAATTACCGCATATGGTAACTCGATGCATTTAGCGTCGTATTCCGGCAATTCGGTGTATTTATAGTTGCCCTTTCTATACATAGTTGGAACATTTTTTACGGTGTTGACGTCAATATGGAACGGACGATCGGTGGTAGCCTTAGGATCGAATTGGTGTGCCCACAAACCCTTGAAATACACCGCGTTTGCCAGCACCAGTGCAGTACTAGCATCCACATCGCCTATAATCGAATATAAATATTATGAGCATGCTTTGAATTGTTGATTCAAATCAATACATTACTATACACATATAATAACGAAAATATAGGGGTATTGTATCTACAGAAAGCCAAAATATTTAGCACTTTGATGACTGCTCTAAATTTATGTTAAATTTCTTGTGTAAATAAAGAAAATTAAAAAATCTTTTTTTTATCGTCGTAGAATTTCATAGTAAATATCTACCTTCACTAAGAATATCCTTGATGCGATCATTTGTTTTTTCTTTGCACCAGTTATTGATGACATTCACAGCTTCTTGGCTATCATTAAAATTTACCGACTGAATGTCAGAATGAAAGTATGTCTTGAGATCTTGTTTGTATTCAGGTTTTACCGGAAAGCTTTCGCCGATAAACATCTTGTTAGCGAGCTTCAAAGTAACATTCTCAACATTCTGCAAGGATAATGGTCCATTATTTCAATTACAGCATTATATTTATGAATAGAGTATCATAAAATATCACAAGATATGACTAAATTAATTCAGTAAATAATTGTTTGTATTCGTGATTTATAATATAAATGACATAAATTTAATTATATAAGGAATATTTATATTCTCTGTACAAATGTCATGTTTTATAAATAATGTGCTATACATTTGATTGATAAATTCTGAGAATATTTACATTTTATAAATGTTATTCTAATTTTATTAAATTTTGAAGATTTAAGTAGTGCATAGAAAAATGTAATTAGTAAAATGTAAGCAGTAAACAAATCAATATTTTTTTGTTTGTTATTGCTTACATACATTAATACCTTACATTCTCGACTATGATTGACCGATTCACTCATTGCTTTCTTCTTAATGTTTTATGTTTTTTTATGTATTACTAGTTTTACATTCTGTAAGTGGCGTACACATATTACGTTTCATAATATATTGTAATTTGATAATTACATTCAGTTTAGCGATGAGATTCTGATAGCCCTCTAGAGTTTGTGGTTTTGAGGCTGGAAGCTTGAGAACATCTTTAAATTGCATTTCGGTAGTTCCGGCAGCGCCGTCAGCTGCCATGCTCAAGGCAATGTGAGCACTTAGGGGAGAACATATCAAATTGTCTAATTTTTCTTGTGAAACGGTCTAAAAAAGAGATTGTCCATTATAAACACTAACCTACTTTCAAATTAACAATATAAAAGTTCAGTCATTACGAATAGCAGAAAATTAATCTAAATTATTAGCTAAAAAATTAAAATAAATAAAGAAAATGAGATATTTCTCTTTCGATTATTTCTCTATCAGCAAATTACCATTTAGTGTATTAAAATTAGTAATATAGATTTTGCCATAGCTAATTAATTAATATGAAAGCTCTGTACACACACAATATCAAATATTAATAAAACATCAAAACTATTTAAACGTATGTGCAAATAATATACCTTGACGAAGTTGGAGGAGAACAAATGAGCACCCTGAGAAACAGCCTGAACGGCTGAATTATTTTCAACTGACGCGGCCATGGCTGATGCAAATAAGCAAAATGCCAAAAAACTTCTTTGTACTGAAACAACAAAAAAAAAGAAATCAATAATTTTATCATAAAATTGAATGTATACGCGAATTATAGCCGAGATACTTAAAAAAAACATAAATTATTGTTTTTACTAGTTCATAATTTTAATATTATCAATAATATAAAACTTTAAAATACTTTTATACGCTTATAAGTAATGTAATTGTCCTTAGAAGAAAACAAACAACGTCAATTTTCACCTCTAGTCTGATATTGATAACATAAGATATATACATAATAATGCGAAGGTCATCGCTTCAAAATAGGATTTACTGTCGAAAATTGAACACTTGCGTTCGAAGGTTGCAGACAATTAAAATAAATAGTGTCAGATATGTTGTTCAAGGTGAACATGAAACTACCACATTGCTACAAATCTTACGTGTACATATTTACATTGGTATTATGTATCTTATTGTTAGTCTTTCAACTTTCAAGAAGCGATGAAGACTACAATGATTCGAAGGGCAATAGCAATGTTACACTTTTATGTATGTAATAAAGCGAAGTTTTATGAACTAAAGTTTATCAACAGAAAAACACAAAAACCGGATTTTTAAATAGTTATATATGGTTACATATTTAGCGACATAAGATGTATAAAAAACATAAATATTTAAAAATTTATTTAAAAAAGAATACAAATTTCTGTAATATTGCTCTACTATATACTTGTTGATTATATCAATTAAAAAATTTAATAAAGTAATTTAGTTTTTCTTGCATATATCTTTCAACATTTTTAAGTATATGTATATAATATGTTTTTATATTATAATTTTGTTATCACACAGATGTTTTTTAATCGAATAATTGATATGATGAATCATAAAGTACATATTGTAAGACGGGATAATCGAATAACGATTGATCATTTGTATTTGTGATCATTACGTAACGGTACTCAATAATAATAATATAATTAGAACAGTTTTTGATCGATACATATTATTATAAACATTATTATAAACATTCTAACGTCATATCGATTGAACGACGTTTTCATATAAGTGCATTAAACACCACGCTTTTCACAAAAAATAGAAGAGAATGTTTATTATTTCAATAATAAAAATCATAAATATTCGTAAACAATTATTCTACTATTGTTGATCAATACAATAAAAAAAGACAATACAGGTTTAGAATTAAATTTTTTAAAAATTAAAATGTTGAGAGAAAATGTCTATACAACCATGTAATGAATAATTACATAAATAATAATTGGTGTACATAAGCATGTGTAAATGTAAGACAAATGATTCAAACCAAACATTGTTTTTCGTTGTCTTCTTTAATTGTACTCACATACACATAAATTTATTTTCTACAGACCATGTAATATTCCGTTCGCACGGAAAGCAAAGACGTCATTCTTTTTCATTTAGTTTATTCATTCTCATTTAAATTTCAATGTAGAATAATTGCCGCTATACAAGTCACTAAATCGGAAGTCAATTACGTCCCGAGTTTCTCACAATCAGAGAGCCACGAGATGAACGCTGCGACAAACAAGGGCAGCGATACCGCAGCTCGCGCGATAATGGAAAGTATTACTTCAGCAGAAATATACACGACCTTGGTTCCATCCAGTTAACAGAGGGCAAAAGTTTAATAATTATATAAGAATATTTAAATATTAAATCTTGTATATAATCTCTCTAATTATATAAAAAATGCGATCGTTAACAAAATGTCAGTACACGGGTCATTTATGCAGGATGTCGGAAAATCAATATCTTTCCTTCCAAGCATATATTCTAATCTGTTCCTTCTTTAAATTTAATTTAAAAATTCATTTTTTAAATACTTGAATTAGGTATAACTTCCTATCAAGTTAAAGCTAAAGTGTGCTTTGAGACATGAATAGAAAGCGCTCGATAAATTGAATTTTTTATAATGCGCATTTTCATGTGTCTATATTGAATTAAGTTAATGTAATATTTTGCCATCTGTTTTTTGAAGCTTAAATCATCCATTAGTCTTCTCAGTTATTTTTAATTCATTAAACTGATAATATTTGATACTGACAAAACAACCATTATTTGACCTTCAATGTTTGTCAAGAGAGGCTGATGAACCGGGGACATTCTGCACATATAATTACGTTACGTAACAAACCGATCAGGAAAAGAATGTAAAACATATATTACTATACCGTTAGATATGCTGACATGAATATACATATTGTATGTACTAAGAACATATTAATAACATGTCATCTATAATATTTATTAAAATTTTTAATTATTAAAAAATATTATGCTTGTGATAACATTTGTGATAAATTGAAAATAAAATGAATCAAGTTATACTGCTATGTTTATATAATAAAAAATGTACATAACATTTTTTTTAATATTAAATAGATAAAAATTTAACGTGAGAAGATTATAAACGCAAGAAAAATAAAAATTTCGTAAAAGCTATTGTTCCAAAAATATCTTTTGTTAGAAATAATATCACTTTACGGAAGAATCATTACATTTTCATAATGTTATCATAGAATAAAAATTTCCACTTGCAGATTTTTGCAATGTTCACCTTGACAGAGATTCAATATTCCGAGATTCTGACGTTTACAGATTATTTTATGCCAAGTACTTGATTTAAATGTCATTAAATATATTGCGAAATATAAATCATTGTATTGGAAAATATTGCATACACGATGATCATCTAATTCTTAGAATTACTTAAAATTAAAATTAATCAATATAAAAATAAGCGACAAGATATCACTGCATTTAACGATAAGGTAGAAATAACAAACGAGAATATTGCGGGACCATTAAATCGATGATGTTTCCTGTTGCCTCGTCGGAAAAACCCATTAAGATACTAATGTAACAGTCACGTTATGTGCGTAAGACTAATCATGTATAACAACTAGATATATGCAACGGATAAGCGAACTAAGGTACATAAAATGTTTGTGTGCAATAATTTCTCTTTTGACAGTTACAATAATTTCCACTTTTAATGTTAAAGAGGAAATAAAAAAATTTGCTCTGATAAGATGAATATTTTTAATAGAAATATCGACGAAATAATTAAAACTTAATTGATCAATTAATCGACATGTCAGTATCGCATTGTAAGCTTCCTATACATATACAGTACAATTATATTTTATTCAACGGAACTTTCCGGAATTACAAGTTTTTTCATCATTCGAATCTTAATTTTTTTCTTTTCCTAATGTTGATGACGTGTCTTTATTTTACGATCGTGTAAGATTTTATAGAATTTTCACAAAACACGTTTGTTTATTTTTTTTTATAACTCTTACACTTTATCTTGCGTTAAAAACAATTAAGTAAATTGCTTTTAATGTTAAACCAAACATAAATCACAAGCCGTGTATAATTATACATATTTCGTGTATTACGAATTTATGAAGATATATAAATGATTTTTATAAGTCGTAATTTTTTTAAGTAACTACTCTATAATATTTTAAATTATTGCTTATACAAAGAAAAATTGTTTGACAAAAGTGATAAAATTATACTGGATTCGTTGTTTTGTGCATAATAATGTTGAGCGCAAAATAAATACAATCACATCAAAATTGCGATATGATGAAAAAAATTACTGTGTATCTATACATCATGAACTGAATGCTTTAAGAGTTATCTCATCTTTTAAAACACACTTTATCTCATTTTCATATTTTTATTTCCAAGTTAGAAGAAAAGTGATATGTTGAATACTATGACATAAACCGAACAACGAAATTAATGCAAAAATCGCGTATGATAATTAATTAGTATTTACAAGAAAATCATGCATATCTTTTTCCTTATATTTATTCTGAATTTTCATAAAATGATAATTTACTAATTGACAGTGAATTTATAAATAACAAATACTAAGATTGTTCCTTCTTAATCTTATCAAATCATTTTTTTCTCTTTTATTTCATTGTCTGACAAAAAAGTTTACGATATACAATATGAAAACTATATAAACGTATTGAAATCCAACATGTGCAACTGCATCATGCATTATAAGCTCAAGGCATCTGATTAATTCTGAAATGACGATACTAATCAACTGATAATGAAAGAAAAGTTCATGCTGCGCAATTCTAGAAATGAATCATGAACCGAACAAGAATGGTATCCAGGATCACCTTGGAGCAACCATTCGACGAGTCAAGAATTACGACTCGTCGAATAGCATTATCGCTGATACGTCAATTCGGTGCGTATCGATAAGACATTGTCGTCGTATCAGAAAGGATTTGGTGAGACATGTGTATCCGACAGTGTTTTTGCGCAGAGAGAGAGAGAGAGAGAGAGAGAGAGAGAGAGAGAGAGAGAGAGAGAGAGA